CTTCTGTTGAGAGTGTTTATCATGAAAGGATGTTGAGTTTCGTCACAGTTTTTCTGAATCTATTGATGTGATCGGGTGGTTCTGTCTTTCATTCTGTCAACGTGGCATGTCACATTTATTGATCTGAGTGTGTTGAATCATCATCCTTGGACAAATCCCACTTGATCACCAAGAATGCTCCTTTTCAGGTAGTGCTACATTTGTTTTGTTAGTATTTTGTTGAGGATTTTTGCATTTATTTCATCAGCGATACTGGCTTGTAATTTTATTTCCTTATAGTACCATTGCCTGGCTTTGGTACCGGGGTAATGCTAGCCTCATGCAATGAGCTGTTTTTGGAAGAGTTTGAGGATTGGTTTTAGTTCTTTACATGTTTGGGAGAATTCAGCCCAGTCCTGAGCTTTTGTTCAATGAGAGTCTTAATTACTGACTCGATTTCTTTACCTGCTTCTGGTCTGTTTGATTTTGTCTATCTTCATGGCTTAGTCTTGGTAGGTTGAATGTTTCTAGGAACTTACCGGGTTCTTCTATGTCATCCAATTTATATGTTCCTTTCCACTTCTGTATCGGTAGTAATGGCTCCTCTTACACTTCTGATTTTGCACCTTCTCTTTTTTCTTAATCTTTCTAAATCTTGTCAATTTTATCTATCTTTTTTGCCTAGGAAATAATTCTTTGCTTCATTGACCTTTTTTATTACTTTTCTTGTCTTGATTTCATTTCTGCTCTAATCTTCACATCTCCTTATTTCTCCTACCTTTTGGCTTAGTTTGTTCTTTCTCTAATTCCTTAAGGTATAATAATCAGATTGTTTATTTGAGATCTTTCTCTTTTTGTGATGTAGTTGTTTCTTACTGTGAACTTCTCTTAGAACTACTTTCGCTGCATGCCATATGTTTTGATATGTTGTGTTCCCATTTTCATTTGTCTCATGATACTTTTCAACTTAATTTCTTTTTTAATTTCTTCTTGACCAACCTTTGGCTATGTTGGAGCAGTTTGCTTGATTTCTACATATTTGTGAATTTTCTGAAATCACACCTGTTACTGATTTTTAGTTTCTTTACCCCTGTGGTCAGGAAACACACTAGGTGTGGTTTCAATCTTTTTAAATGTGTTAAGCCTTGTTTAGCTGCTTGTCATGCAGCTTATATCCGAAGATCTTCTGTGTGTGCTGGAGAAGAAGGTGTACTCTGCTTCCATAGGATGGACTGTTCCGTGTACATCTGTTGGGTGCACTTAGTCTGAAGTGTAGTTCAAGTCTCCTACGGTCTGAAGGTTTGTGTAAAACAAACTTCATTATGGTGAAACTTAATCGCCAGTAGGTAGGGCCTTTGGAGAAGTGACTGAGTCATGAAAGCTATTCCCTCACAAATGGACTTAGGGACTTGATTAAGAGATTGAAAGGAGCATGTTTGTCCCTTTCTCTCATGGCCAGCGTGAGCAGATCCCTTGATCTGGCTGGGAGCCACTGGGGATTGAGAAAAAAGACACAAAGACAGACATATAGAAAAGCTTGGGATTGGGTGGGTCCAGCACTCCTGATGAGAGATGCTGGCAACCCCCTCCGCCTTCAAGTGCATTTATTTATACAGCAAGTGTGGGAAAGTGGGGTGAAGGGCAGGTTGGGTTCTCACAGGTCCAGTCGAGTAGGCAGCAGGAACAGCGCAGCTGTGGTATGTTGTTATTTACTGCAGACTATCCTATGTCAGCATGCCCTGTTTTCCCTGCAAGGCACCTTGCTGAACCTTGCCTCCCCTTGGCTGGGTCTGTGCCTATCAGCCAAGGGGCCCTTTGACAGAGCTGTGCTCGTGCAAAGGTCTATCTCCACTGCCTCAGTCTCCTCTTTGCTGCTTGCTGAACCTTGCTTGCCTCCTTCGTGCCAGTGCCAGGGCTTTGCCTTCTCAGCACAAAGGACCCTGACATGACATGACCTTGCAGATGTCAAAGTTTCTTCTCAGTCTATTTGATTACTGGTCTCCCACACCTTTCCACCATCTGAGGACAACAGCAAGGCACCGCGTATGAAGACTGGCCTTCACCAGACACTGAATCTTCTGGTGCCTTGACCTTGGGCTACCCAACCTTTAGAACTGTAAGAAGTAAATTTATGTGATTTACAAACCATCCAGGCTAAGGATTTTGTTATAGTGGCCTCAGGGATTAAGGAGGTGTCCAGTTTCCCTACCGACTTCCCACCTGGATGACTGTCCGTTGTTGCAGCTGGAGTCCTGATTCCCGTAATGGTCCTGTTTTGTGACCTATCTCTCCCTGTAGGTCTCTTAATATTTGCTTTATATACTTTGGTGTTCTAACGTCAGAGTAACTACGTATTTATAATAGTTGCATCTTGTTGATGAATTCACCCCTTTATCATTATTTAAAGACCTTCTTCATTTCCTTTTACAGTTTTGCTCAAAGTTTATTTCATCTGATATACGTACACCTACCCTGCTGTCTCTCAGTTTCCATTTCCATCTCTTTACTTTCAGTCTACATGTGTGCTTCAAGGTGACCTGAGTGTCTGGTGGCAGCACACACATGGGTCTTTTTTTTTTTTTAAATACATTCAGCTATTCTATGTCTTTCAGCTGGATTTATGTTTAAGGTAATTTTGATAGGTAAGGATTTAGCACTGTACTCTGCTATTTTGTTAGTTCTTTTCTAGATTTTTGGTGCCTTTGTTCATCTTGCTGTCTTCCTCAGGGATTAGATGATTTCCTACATTGATAAAAATTTCTACATTGGATTCCTTACTCATGATAGCCTGTATAATTTACTACTTTCCTGACTATGCTTCTTAGTTCCTGTGTACAAAGTCATAAAAACGCAATAATCCATAAAATAGAGAAAAGTCCCCAGCCAACTTGAAGGATGAGAGAGTGCTTCCTGAACCTTTGTCTGGGTGCTTGGAATTTAAATTTGAGCTGAGAACAACACTGTGGGTCCTGCTGTGTGATCTGCATGGGAGGCACGTGTGGTGTGGTGGTGATGCAGCGAGGGTCCAGGATCAGCCTCAGCTGGCTTCTCACCTCCTGAATTGCTGACCCCTGTGAGATGAGGGCATTGGGACAGCCATTTCCAGCTTGCCCATGCTGACACCACGGTGTCCTGGCAGAAAAGCTCAGTTCTTTATGCCCCAGCCATAGTCAGTGTGTGGTCAGGTGTGCGGGTGCGTGTGGTGTGTGTGTGGTGTGTGTGTGTGGTGTGTGTGTGTGGGTGTGTGGTGTGTGTGTGTGTGTGGTGTGTGTGTGGTGTGTGTGTGTGTGTGTGTGTGGTGTGTGGTGTGTGGTGTGTGTGTGGTGTGTGTGGTGTGTGGCTATTCTATGTCTTTCAGCTGGATTTATGTTTAGGTAATTTTGAATAGGTAAGGATTTAGCAACTGTACTCTGCTATTTTGTTAGTTCTTTTCTAGATTTTGGTGCCTTTGTTCATCTTGCTGTCTTCCTCAGGGATTAGATGATTTCCTACATTGATAAAAATTTCTACATTGGATTCCTTACTCATGATAGCTGTATAATTTACTACTTTCCTGACTATGCTTCTTAGTTCCTGTGTACAAAGTCATAAAAACGCAATAATACCATAAAATAGAGAAAAGTCCCAGCCAACTTGAAGGATGAGAGAGTGCTTCCTGAACCTTGTCTGGGTGCTTGGAATTTAAATTTGAGCTGAGAACAACACTGTGGGTCCTGCTGTTGATCTGCATGGGAGGCACGTGTGTGTGGTGGTGATGCAGCGGGTCCAGGATCAGCCTCAGCTGGCTTTCTCACCTCCTGAATTGCTGACCCCTGTGAGATGAGGGCATTGGGACAGCCATTTCCAGCTTGCCCATGCTGACACCCGGTGTCCTGGCAGAAAGCTCAGTCTTTATGCCCCAGCCATAGTCAGTGTGTGGTCAGGTGTGCGGGTGCGTGTGGTGTGGTGTGTGGTGTTGTGTGTGGTGTGTGTGTGTGGGTGTGTGTGTGTTGTGGTGTGGTGTGTGTGTGGTGGTGTGTGTGTGTGTTGTGGTGTGTGTGTGTGTTGTGTGTGTGGTGTGTGTTGTGGGTTGTGTGTGTGTGGTGTGTGTGTGTGGTGTGTGTGTGTGTGTTGTGTGTTGTGTGGTGTTGTGGTGTGTGTGTGGTGTGTGTGGTGGTGTGTGGTGTGGGTGTGTGTATGTGTGTGTGGTGTGTTGGTGTGTGGTGTGGTGTGTGTGTGGTGTGTATGGTGGTGTGTGTGGTGTGGTGTATGGGTGGTGTGTGTGTGTGTATGGTGTGTGTGGGTGTGTGTGGTGTTGTGTGTGTGTGTGTGTGGGGGTTGTGGTGGTGTGTGTGGTGTGTGGTGTGTGGTGTGTGTGTGGTGTGTGTGTGTGTGGTGTGTGTGTGGTGTGTGGTGTGTGTGTGTGTTGTGTGTGGTGTTGTGTGGTGTGGGTGTGTGTGGGTGGTGTGTGTGGTGTGTGTGGTGGTGTGGTGTTATGTGTTGTGTGTGTGGTGTGTGTGTGGTGTGTGTGGTGTGTGTGGTGTGGGTGTGTGGTGTGTGTGGTGTGTGGTGTGTGTGTGGTGTGTGTGGTGTGTGTGTGTGTTGTGGTGTGTGGGGTGTGTGGGGTGTGTGGGGTGTGTGGTGGTGTGTGGGGTGTGTGGGGTGTGTGGGGTGTGTAGAGCTGCATAACAGCAGAAGGTGCAGGGTCCCCACAGATGGCCATCTTAGCTCTCCTGCACTCTATGCGCTGGAACCTGCTTTCTTGCAATGCAGCGTCATGGCATCCGAGAATGAGCACCATTAGCGGCAATCCAAAACTTTGCAATCGTTGAACCTACTTCCGCATCCCCTGCATATTTGTCACCTTAAGGCAGGAGCAGATGATTTAAGTGCAACTTCAAGGGAATTCCGCAGGGAAGCCCTTCCCAGAGGTGCGCTCACTACTTTGGAGTTGCTGGTGGGAGATGCTGGGACGGAGGTACGTACACGCGTGCTCACATAAGCGATCATCACGCTAACTGCAATTTTGTTGTTTGTTACAGCCCCAGCCCCCAAAAGGCAAAAATGTGACCACTGGACCCCATGTCCTCCCAACACCTATGCCTATAGGTTGCTCAGTGGCGGGGGCAGAGACAAGTATGCCAAGATCTGCTTTGATGATGAACTGTAAGTACCGTGTTCAGGAACAGAGCACAGTATCTGCTTGGTTCTGTCCCTGTCTCTGGGGTGGCCAAGCCACAAGGCTGCCCAGCTGAGAACTGCATGTCCCTGACCTCAGATCAAGGCTGAGTGTCAGGTGAAAGTGAGAAGGTCACTCTGTGTTCCCTGGGGAAAGATGGTGACTGACTCACCTAACAGCACTGAGTCCAAACCATAGCTTCCATCTTGTACTGTCCTGTGAATATGTGACAAAGTTCAAAGTTACGGGAATCTGAATTCAGCTGACAGAGTCTTTTCAGGTTTTGTGTGCTGGTCCCCACCCTCGTGGATTAAAGCAGGTGTGCTTTCTCTCTGTCATCCACACCTCACGCAGAGTGACTGGCAGATATTCCCTCCTCTTTAAGACTCTGGGAGATGTGCATGGAATTGGTCTTAATTCTTCTCCACCATCCATGCCTGGAGCTTTCTTCAAGAGAAGGTTTTGAACTAGAAATTAAATTACTTAACAAGCATAAAGCTAAGACTTGCCTGTTCTTCTTGAGATCTTCCCTGCTTTATAGCACAGGGGTGTTCACCTTAGTCCTTCCTGGTTCACGGCCATTTCTGGAAAGAGACAGTTCCTTTAATGAGCATGCTGAGAAGGTGGAATCTGCCCTGTCCATGTGCTCAGAGCCGCTGGACAGTGTTGGTCTGAGCTGTTTCAGGAGACAGAGCCAGAACACACACTTTTTCCAAAGGTGAACTTGCATTAATTTTTCCACTTCAAATTTAACATTGCAGGATTTTTTTCCCCCTTATGTTCTTTGATTTTGTGTTTGAAGTGTTTCCCTTTCACTGAAAACCTCTTTCCTTTAATGTCTGTTTACCCACAGCTCTGACAATACAATTACAGAGTGAAGTTTAAGACATTGTATATTTTTGGCAGTACTGAGGTTTGAACTCAGGGCCTCGTGCTTGCTAGGCAGGCCCTCTACCACTTGAGCCACACCCCTAACTCCTTTTGCTTTAGTTACTTTTCAGGTAGGGTCTTATACTTTTTGCCTGGAGACAGCCTTGGACTGAGATTCTCCTACCCATACTTCTCACATATTGGGATAACAGGCATGCACCGCCACCCCTGGCTTGTTTGTTGAGGTGGGGTCTCACTAACTTTTTGCCCAGGCTGGCCTCAAACTGAGGTCACATTCCAAGTAGCTGGGATTACAGATGCGAGCCACTGTGTGCAGCCCTTCTTTGTATCTTTAGAAATATTCCATTAAAGTTGCAAAATCGGAGTATTATGATCAAAGTCATGAGATAGTTATTTTTCCTGTGGTTATGTTATGCATTTAATGTACAGTTAGGTTCATTGCAGTTTGTTTTCATGGGCTGTCAGAGTGGCTCCAGTGGTAAGGGGGCCTGCCTAGCAAGCATGAGGCCCTGAGTTCAAACCCCAATGAGGAAAAAAAAAAATCAAAGCCTAAACCAAAAAAAAAAAAAGAAGTCAGTTTGTTTTCACATCTAAGATTTTTTTGTATTTTCTTTGGATTTAATTTTTGAACACATGACATATTTATGTGGTTCAGAAATTGACACCATATCAAAAAAAATACTCGGAGAAATCACTATACCCTCCAGTTTTTTCCTCTTCCTATTGCTATTATTTTTATCAGTGTCTGGTTTATTCTTCCACTGTTTGTTTTTATGACAAAAATAAGCTTTTGTCTAGAAATACATTCTAGACAAAATTCTATGTACATATGCATGTGCGTGAGTACATATGAAATGCGTATGTGAACGTGTGTATACATGTGTTCATGTGTGCACCACACGCCTTTTCTCACATAAAATGTAGCAAACTCTGCACACAGTTTTGCACCTTCTTCTTCTTTTTTTTTTCTTTTGTGGTACTGGGGTTTGAACTCAGGGCCTTTGCTTTGAGGCACTCCACCAGCCCATTTGTTGTGAAGGGTTTTTTCGAGATAGGGTCTCACAAACTATTTGCCTGTGCTTGCTTTGAACCGCGATCCTCCTGATCTCTGCCTCCTGAGTAGCCAGGATTACAAGCGTGAGCCACTGGTGCCCGGCTCTTTTTTCTTTTTGATGGTACTGGAGTTTGAACTCAGGGTCTCAGGCTTGTTAGGCAGGTGTTCTACCACTTGAGCCACTCTGCCAGTCCTTGTTTTTTTACTGAGCAGTGTAATAGAGATTGCTCTATGCCATTACTCAAAGTTCTTCCTTGTTTCCTTTTACTGGTGCATAGTATTTGTTAGAAATGAAAGAGGCCTGGAATAGGCAGAGAGACGGTTCAAACACCAGCACAGGGTTTATTGTTCAGGCAGGAGCCCTGTGGAGGGGGACCCCAGAAAGAGAGAGCCCACTGCCACACACAGGCTTGGGCTAGATAGAGGGGACTAGTGGAAAAGTACCAGGAAGGTCACTAGGGCAATCAAGAAAGATAAGTTGTAGTTAGGTTACTGTCTGTTCATCTGTCCCTGGCACCCATCTGGGAAGATAAAGGTTAACAACTGTCCTTTGTCAGTCTTTGGGGTTGGGTGGGGAATTTCTAGTAAGTCACCTGCAAGGGGGAGGGGTCTGGTCCTAACATGACTGTCCCCACTGTTAACCCCAACATTCCTGCTTTTTGATAGATAGATAGGTAGGAAGAAAGGACAATGAAACTTCATTTTGCTACTTCCTGCTAAGGTGGGGTGTTGAGGTTTCTTAAGGAGAGGGGTTACCAACAGGGTCTTTTGCTATAGCAAGCCCACTGGAGGAACAGGATTGAATTGATTTGGGTAGTGTCCTGGATGAAAGCCTGGAGTCTTTAGCCCAGGAAGACCACTGTCCATTGTTTGTTGTTGGAGGTTGGCAGTACATTTCGAGGTCTCTTAGGTATTACAAACAATCCCAGACTAGTTGACATAAAAAAAGCAGCCTTTTTCCTGTAGAAGTGGCATGGTTTTGAGTGCCAACCTGTATAAAGGAATGTAGGCTTTGGGAGACAAGAGGAGACATGTGTTAAATACACATGGCCAATGGTTATCAGCATGAGAAAGAAAACCAAGGGATCTTGGGTACAGACATCAGCTATAGGCCTAGGTAGACAAAAGAACTGGGGGCAGGGGACAAAGGCAGACACAGTAAATAATCCCAACCACAGGTGAGACTGGGTTGGTCACAATCTTACTTTTGGTTTTGGGAGAGGTTCCGGAGTTGTTATCTGGAACTACTCATTCTGAGTGGAGTCCGTTGTTGGAGATAGTTTCAGTCCCTTGTCACAAAGATGTCATCGGTCATTTCTGTCCTTTCTTGACTCCAAGTTGACTACAGGAGAGAATGGCTCAGAGCAAATGACAATAGACAAAATGGAGAGATGTTATGTTTTTCTGTTTTTAGTTACTCTGTGGGCCCAAGTAGGAAGTCAGTGGCTTTTAATAAAAGCAGCCCAAGTACCTGGGGAACCAGGGAACTAGGGTCTTTTGGCCAGTGACAAATACAGGAGAAGGGACAGATAACTGGCAACTAAATCAAAAGTACTTGTTATTTAAGTTTAAAGCTAGAAACACTTTTATAAAGTAGAATACAGAGTAAGTGAAAGAAAACTCCCAGTTAAATAGACTGCCCAGGAAAAATAACCCCATGAGCATGGACTACTAAAAGATAAGTTTGGAGCCACCAAAAATAATTTGTCTTTACTTAAATAGAAGGCCTTGACCTAAAATATGAGTTTGTCTTCTGTCAGGGGTGCCTGCAAAGGCTTGTATGTTTAGTAGCCCTGCGTAAAATCACTTCTTTAAAACCTTTTAGCTTTAGTAAATTATGTGAGGTCTGGTACAGGTGAGTCCATCTGGATTGTGACAGCTTTTCCCCTCTTGTCTCCAAACTGTCTCTGAAGATCTTGTCAATCAACCATTTTGGTTAGTGAAAATTCTTTGGTGCCAGAATAGCTTTTCTGGATGTTTTCGACATTGGAGGGGAAGGACCAGGCAGGTAAGGTGAGAATCAGTGCCAATTAAGACCCATTTGGCCAAATTATAAGCAACAAAAGAGGTTTAGAAGAAGCAGGCTTACCTGGCATCCATTTTTAGTTGTCTGGAATGTAGATGATGTCCTGACAACTTAAAAATGCTGCAGAATGTCAACAGACAACAGTTAAAAGTTTTCCAAAAAGCCAACAAAAACAAATATTTAGAAGGCTAACTTATTGAAAAATAGGTTCTTGTTAGAATCATTTTTGGGGGTTTGATTACAAATGCTCCAGAGAAGAACCCAGACTGCTAATGAGAAACTTAGAATAGCCAGGGCTAAAATGCTGAAAAGTAGTTTAGGAATTGTCAGAACACCTATTTTCTTTTTATTGCAGACAACATTTTGACTGACAGCATTAAAAATGCAGCACTAAATGCTCCTTGTTACAATTAAGACACAATATACCTGCTTGGTGAAATGTTGTTTTGGTTTTTTTGTTTTTTGGAGTAAAATTTAGAATTTTGGCTAGTAGAATAATAGGTATACAGCACTGACAAAAGTCAAAACTTTTAGATCTCTTACAAGTTAGGTGGTAAGTAATCCCACCACCACTATACAGTGTACCTGTATATTTTCTGGGCATCCCCAGAAAATAATAGGTAAGTCCACCCAGTTGGTGGACAGAGGGAGTCTCTTTTCTGGCCAGGTCTTCTGTGCTCCACAGTAGGACTAAAGAGAAAGCCAGATGAAGGGGAAAACTCACCCAAATTGAAGACCAGTGTTGGACGGAGGTCCAGTGATAGGGAATGGTTCCTGATGGAGCCGTCAAAGGAAGGAAAGCGTGGGAGAGACAGAGCAGTGAAAAGGGAGGGAGAGGCCGTTGGGGGCAGGGAGACTCCAGCCTCCGTTTAGGGCCAGAGAGGAACCAGTAGATAGGGAGACTCTTGCCATTTGCCATTTCTCACAAAAAGGTTGTTAAGGTCTCAGAGAACATTGGAATTAAAAGTTTTAAATTTGGGCCATTTAGAGGAATTATCTAATTTGTACTGAGGTCAAATTTTCATAGAAAAACTGATGAGGTTTTTTGGTTTTAGATCGCCCTTTAGGCTCAGTTCAGTAAGGTTGTGTAAGAGACACCCCAGAGGTGAGGCAGAGGGAATCTTTGAGTGGGTATTATCTGTGGCCTGGGTTAGGAAATTTTCCCTAGAGTGTCTCCAGGAGAAAACTTGCAAAACCAGAAAAATGAACTTGGAGCAGTAGGTAGACTTTAACCTACTAGCCAGGGGCCAGACTCACCAGAGGCCAAATGGCCAGAGGGTGAGAGGGAGGGGAAAGATAGGAACACCCACCGAAGGCAAGAATGGCCAGAGACCAACCAACACACTGAGGTGTCACGGAGAGCCAGATGCCAGATGGAGAGGACAGGTCTTCCCTGTCCCTATAGAAATCAGAGCCGATGTTGAGTGTCTGAGTGGAACTGGCAAGGGGCCCTGCAGGAGGTCGCGGAGGAATGGAAAATATAGTAGTGTTAGAGTCACATAGAGGGGAATGAGGATGGAAAGAAGGGACAGAAAGAGAGATTTGGAGAGAGAGAGGTCGTACAGTTTGGGGATGAAGGCTGTTCCTCCCTGCTCAAAACTTTCTCCCAGTTTTTGGCACCAAATGTTAGAAATGAAAGAGGCCTGGAAGAGGCAGAGAGACGGTTCAAACACCAGCACAGGGTTTATTGTTCAGGCAGGAGCCCTGTGGAGGGGGACCCCAGAAAGAGAGAGCCCACTGCCACACACAGGCTTGGGCTAGATAGAGGGGACTAGTGGAAAAGTACCAGGAAGGTCACTAGGGATACTGTTCGTGGGCAATCAAGAAAGATAAGTTGTAGTTAGGTTACTGTCTGTTCATCTGTCCCTGGCACCCATCCGGGAAGATAAAGGTTAACAACTGTCCTTTGTCAGTCTTTGGGGTTGGGTGGGGAATTTCTAGTAAGCCACCTGCAAGGGGGAGGGGTCTGGTCCTAAGATGGCTGTCCTCGCTGTTAACTCCAACAGTACTCCATAGCATGGCTTCATCTTAGTTGATTTATTCAACTTGTTTTGCCCTGGTGAGCGTTTCTCAAGTATGAAATCTTTTGGTATTACAAATCATGCTGCAAAGAATGGCCTTGTGAGGACACCGTGTTTTGTAATTAAACGTAATAAAGTGTGCAATTGCATAACCTTCATTGAGATTAATCAGCAGACTCTACTGATAGCCCTTTACGTGCCCCTCTGCAAATGCAGCTCTCAGTTTCATTTTTCCCTAGTGATAAGAGCACTCAGGTCTCTTCCGTGGTGGTCATTCCTGCCTTTCTTCATGGTTTTACTGCCTAAGCTCACATTGCACAAAACTGTTGCTTAATTTCATGTATTTGAAATTTAATAAATGCAGCCATGAACTATATATTCCTTTGTGTCTGGTCTTTTTAGCTCAAAATGGTATCTGTGAGATCTTATCCTTGATGCTGGGTAGAGCTATTTTTTGTGGATTTTCATTGCTGTATAATACTGCATTGCTTGAATAGACTACAATTTATGTTTCCATTCTACTGTTGAAAGACATTTGTGTCATTCCCAGTTATTTTTGAGCAGTGCTCTTCCTGTCTCTTCGTGCATATGTGCATACATTTCTGTTTCACTTTAGGCTTTTTTTCAGGGAGGGGGGGCATGCCCCAAACCAGCCTCAAATCCAGTCATTCTCTGGAAGGACCCCTAAGACTCAAGGACAGGTTATACTCAAAGGTAGGGCTTATGATGGCCAAAGACAACGTGCAACAGCTGCTTTCTGGGCTTTTCATGGCCACTTCCTGCAGCTCATGTTTCCCTGGAACATCCGTTTTTCATCCTCTCTCCTGAGCCGACCTTTGCAGGCGGTTCAGGCACTCAGGTGCTGTTCCATTGTCTCCTAGCCACATTGTCTCTTTTGAGAAGTCAGCCAACATTCCCATTTCTGATTGCCTTTAAGATTTTTTTACTTCTTTGATTTTCAAATTAGTACCCTGATGCTTCTATCATTATTTTATCTTATTTAGATATATTGGGGTTTCTCAGATATGCATTCATTGAATCCAACAAATTTTCTGCTAGTCTAACATCTTCCCTATTAGCTTTGTCTTCTTCTGAGATTCTAGTGAAACACATTTAACTGTGTTTCTATGTTCTGTATACTCCACAATCTGTTTTGTGTTCACCGTGTTTTTAATCTTGCTGTCTTCTTCTGCTGTGTCTAACCTGCTGTGAAACCCACCCGTTAACTACTGATTTTAGATTATTATATTACTTAGTTTTAGAACTTAAATTTGGCTTCATAGTAACATGTCAATTTTTATAATTTCCACTGCATACATCATTTTCTTGAAGATACGACGTACAATTATTTCAAAGTCCATGTCAGATATCTTTTTATCCCTGTGAGCCTGTCACTGTTATGTACTATTCCCTTTGGTAACATAGGTCTTATTTGTGCTGAAGTCTTTCCTCACCTGTGCCAGACAGAACATTTGAGAATTTTTGAAAAATTGAGACAATAGATATGCAGTAATTGTCAGTTTTCCATTGCTACACTAAAGTGCCTGAGGCTGGATAATTTATAAAGCAAAGAAGTTTATTTAGTTCACAGTTCTGGAGGTAGAAGAGCATGGTTACAGCTTCTCCTTGGCTCTGGCAAGGTCCTTGTGGCAGATGGTATCACAATGGCAGGAGCACATGCAAAGATCACATGGCCAGGCAGGAAACCAGAGAAGGACTCAGGAGTCAGGCTTGCTCTTTCACACCAAGTGCTCTCTGGAGAGCAAACTCACTCTGTGAGACCTGCACTGTGCCCTTCTGAAGGCAGTGCCCCAGAGACCTAATTACCCAGGCTGTACCTCTGAAAGCTCCACCACCTAACACTTCACACTGAGGACCAGCGTCCAACACGCTCTCACCACTCCCAAACCACAGCAGGATGGCATGATCTTTTTCTACTGAGGACTTTCCTTGCTGTGCCCTAGAACCTGGAACTAAGCAGGCATTCTACCACTTGAGCCATGCCTCCAGCCCTGGGACCTGGTATTGTTAGAAGACCAGGGTGACACAAGCATGTCTCAAAGGGTGGGGTTTGCCAGGCCACTCAGGTGAATTAAAAATGAGCTAAAGTTCATGCAAGTTCTATTTTGATTTATGTCTGGTTGCCCTCACTCAGTGTTCAACCATTTGTGACCCCAACCCAAGTAAGATGTGGGGAATTTGTCATGACTGTCATCTAGCTTCACCTTTGTCCCCTCGCACATGTGTGCACACACCACAACACACACACACACACACACACACACACACACACACCCGCAATGCCTATGATGCTCAGCAAGCCCTGTCTCCAGGAAAGTCATGCAGTCTCCCTGGGCTTAGGACACAATCTTCTTGGAATTGGCATGTCATGTTCTCCAATCGAAAAGGAGAAGTTAAGTGGTGCAATATAAAGCTTACTGAAGAGGAAGCCTGGATTAAGCTTTGCAGTAGGTGAAAGGCTCACCAAGCATGAAGCAGAGCCTGGAATGGCTCCCTGAGAGGAGGACAGAGACAGAGAGAACCAGGCTGGGGCTGCACCCGCCTCCCATGAACTCACCTCTTCCTACCGTCTATGAAATGTTAAAGTGGGTGCCTAGGACCTGGTTAAAAAGGGTTGTGAAGAGCCTGAACTAAACAAACGTGAATTTTCTTCTCAGGCCTTTTGTCTAAATTATAAGATTAATTGTGGTGTCCTGATGTCCTAAGGGACTAACTCTATAGAAACCTGAGGCAGGTGTGTGTGGAGGGAGTGTGGGGGTGACATTTGTTCAGGGGAACTGCCACAAGGCCAGTGCACACCTGGGAGGAAGCAGTGTGCAGTCAGCACACCTGGGTGCGACAAGTTCCACCCAGAGAAGACCTGGTGAGCAGGGGAGGGCTGCTCATGGCCAAATGGCAGTCCTTCACTCATGCTCACTTCTATTTCAGGCTCATAGGAGAAAAGACCGGGAATGTCGGGAGAGGAATAAACATTGCTGTCGTCGACTGTAAGTTATCTGGTGTCTTCTTTAGAACTTCCCTGAAAGCTCTGAGGTCAGATTTTCAGAGAACTTGGGCTTTCAAGGCTTTTGCATGTAATCTAGTCTTTAGTGCATTTTAAATTTGTATGTTTTCTTCACTTTTTGGACTATTTGTGGTTCCAATAACAACAAAAAATAACTGAAAAATGAATGTGAAGCAGACTTGACAAAAAAATAAGGTCAGGCAGAAGCCATCGTGATGCCCAGATAAGCACAGACCCATGGTCCTTGGTTGTGTCTCCCACCTCACATCTGCTGTCTGGGGTCTGAGCAGAGGGTGACATCACTGGTCAGTTCCCAGTGCTTTGTGACAAAAGGCCACTGGACTCCATGGGAGGCAAAGCTTGGCCTTTCTCTCAGATCCGGTTGCCGCTGGGGGCTCCTGGCAAGAAGAACCAGAGCAGTTTGGGGAAGTGGTTTCCTGCAGTGTCTGGGCAAGTGAGTTGACAGCCTGGGCCAGTGACGGCAGGGCTATGGGGTGAGGGGAAATGCTCCTGTTTGAAGCCTCCAGGGAAACCTAAATGAGGGAAGGTCTTAGGTGGCCCTGGTGCTTCCGGAGAAGAAGCAGGTGGGGGAAATGTAAGACCAAGTCTCACTGATCATAGGCTGGAAGGCAGTTCTGGAGCAGGGCTGGGCACTGTCCTTCTGAGCCCATGCTGGTGACACTCCTCAGGGCCACAGCCCCCTTGTGAGGCCGGGCCACCACATCAACCGCATATCCTGCAGAACTACAGAAGAAATGCATTTCTGGGGGCCCTGGGGCCACCAACTGCCCCTCTCCCCTTCCGTTCTATGAGTTTTCTCTTAAAAAATGATTTCTACTTTCAGATGTGACTGGGAAGGTGACAGGGGCCCAATACTTTGATATGTATGAAGGCGGTAAGAAAACTCTTTTCCTGTAAAAGTTAAAATGAATTTTAAACATAATGGAGACCTAAGGAGAAACTGAGGCACAACTTGATGAAGACACAGAGTTGCCTTGGGCCATATTTATTGTATCTAGGTTCTGCAGGTGTGTGTCTCGATTGCAGTCCCAAGGCAGCCTGTTCTGGGATGTCACCCCAGGGCTGGCCCTTTGCTGGTGATGCTATCTGCTGGTGGGTTTAGCTAATTGAATCTTTAGAATCTAATTTCTCACCTAGGCACACTTGCCTTGTTTGTTGTCTCTGTTCATTGTACCCTGAACATCTTCTGGGAGTTGTCTGTCCCATGCTACTCACAGAGGGACCCAAATATGGATTTTGAGGAAGCAGCTAGGGCATGGAGGATGGCTTGGTAGAGACCAGCTCTAGGAGGCAGGGATCCAGAGTGGGCAGCAAAGCAAGGGCAGGAATAGGTCCACGGGAGCCTCCATTCTTGGAGAAGATCCTAAACTGCTTGCCTGGATCCTACAGATAACTCGGGGCCAATGACCAAGTTCATTCAGAGCGCTCCTCCCAAGTCCCTGCTGCTCATGGTGACCCACGATGACGGGAGCTCCAGGTGAGCAGGCACAGTCAGCCCAGTGTGGCACAAGCAGCTAGCTGGGCAGTGGGTCAGGGTCCCTTGGTCCTCTGTCCTCTAGAGAAGACAGAGGTATGGGGTAAGATGCTTCTGTAAGGGAAGGGAATGAAAGAGCAGAGCAAAACAACCGCATTTTTTAAAAATCACTGACACTTAAGCACTAGAGCACAGACCTTCTAGAACCTAAAGGGTCTTTGCAAATAGCAAGGCAAAGCCACAGCTGAACACAATTAGGTAAAATACTGTCAGCAAGCTAACCCCAGGGTGGGACTTACAGAACAATGAGAGGAAATGGAGATAAATTCTCTGCAGGATGAGTGGAAGGATAAAGAACACACATGAGCAGTGGCACCAGGAGGAGCTGACATAGCTCAGTTATCCTCAAAGTGAGCTCCACAGAGTGCATTCCTAAGCTTTCTCGTGTACTCCCTTTGTCCCCAGACTGCAGGCCCAAGCCAAGGACACGATAGAGGCCCTTGGAAGTAAGGAAATCAAGAATATGCGATTCAGATCAAGCTGGGTGTTTCTTGGAGCAAAAGGCTTTGAGCTTCCTTCAGGAATTCCAAGGGAAAAGGTGAGTGGCTTTTCCATGTCCCTTCCGACAAGCAAGGGATACAGTAAATGCTAGGATTTGAAAGGTTGCCAGTCAGCCATGACTCCTGTCTGCAACACAGGACTGTGTAAGCCTTTCCATTAGGGTTGCGCTCAACCTTGACTGCTTTCAGTCTTCTCAAATCTCTTGGAATGTGGAAGATGCTGACTGCGTTGGTGGAACTGGTTTCCCCTCACTTGTAGCCAGATCCCTCTCTGTGGGCAGGGGCCTGGCCTTCTGTCTCTGCGGTGGGGACAGTGAGCACACCTCTTGGGGAGGCAGAGGGGACTAACTGATACAATGTGCATAAAGCATTTCAAACATGGCAGGCACCAAAAAAACAGTAAGTGTAGTGTTTGTCATTGTCATTCTTGTAATAACTTGTCACACAGTTGATTATGTCCCTTCCATTGTGGTCTTTATTTATCAAAGAAAAGCAGAAAGCAAAAGAATGAAGTTCTAACTTATCAACCACTAAGCCTCATGTGAAAATTCCAGCTGAGGGTGGTACACTGTGGTTGTGGGAGTCACACGCCAATGCTTTTGGGACAATCACACCAGCCCCTTTCAACAGCCGAAATAAACAAGTTCAGAGGAAAGAGTGGGGCTGCACCCTGCACCTTCCGGATAAGGGTCACATAGCTAGAAATCCCAGGAGACAGAGACCTGCATATCTCCAGGGTTGCCACCAGCTGCTTCTGATTCAGGCTGGGATCATGGTCACACTCCCCTCCTGCCTGTCTGGTGCAGCCACAGGGCCTGGAAGGCTAGTAACAAGCAGGGACAACTGGGCCTCTTCTTGTCAGCATGGCTTCCCAGGGTGGGAACGGGCTTGGTGAGATGCCACGTCAATGGAAGCCATACAACCAGGTCACCGTGACAGGATCCCGAGATCCCAAGATCCTCTGGGGTGCCCTGTGTTCTAGAACTCTGGAGGCTGGAGATTGTAAAAGCTGTGTCTACCATGACTCCCAATTCCTTTGCATCCAGGAAGCCAGCTGCACAGAATAGGTCGAGGAGGTGCCCAAGCCCTGGCCAGAACTATTCACTGCTTACTGTCATGCCTGGACAGTGGAGACAGTGGAGACCTCATAGGGTTTTCCTAGCAAGGGAGGTGCTTGCCAACTCTGCTTGGTGGCTCCTTGGACTATGCCATTGCCCAGACCCACTGGGGTTCAGAGGAGCCAGGCACGGGACTGGGCCAGAAGCTCACAGTCAGGGGACATGCCAGGGACTTGTGTAATCTTGAACAAGCCTCCCGCCTCTCTGGGTTTCAGTTTTCCTACTGGAAAACTTGGGGCCCAGTGGCTGTGCTCTGGGCAGGCATCCCATTTGCTTTGACTGCCTTGCTGACTCTGGGAGCGAGTGCAGCATTGTCTTAAGATGCACTATGTACCACAGCCAGGCATCTTAAAAATCTCCAGGCTGTGTGGTCTTGGACAAGCTGTTTAACTGCTCTGTGCCTCAGATCACCTATGAGAAAGGGATAAAAACAATACCAAAATAGTCTTGAAGAAGGATTTAAGACTCATAGAAAGCCACAGTAATAAGGACAGTGTGGTGCTAGCATAGGATGGATAGGGATGAATGCAATAGAATTGAGATTCCAGAAGATGTTAAGTCCTGACAGTTTTGATCTACTGACTTCAATAAGGGAACCAAGACCATTTAATGGGGAATGTTGGGAAAACCAGATATCATGTGGGGAAAAAATGGATTGGGGTCCCTACCTCACACCACACACAAAAATTAACTCCCAATGGATCAAATACCTAAATGCCAGAGCTACAACTATTAAATTCTTTAAAAAAAAATAGGCCTTAATCTTTGTGATCCCATTAGGCTGTGCTTTCTAGAAGATTACAAAAAAGAAAAACAGATATATTGCTCTTTTTTGAAATTAAAAACTTTATTGCATCAGGCTGGGCATGTTGGATTGTACTTATAATCCCAGCTACTTGAGAGGTGGAGACAGGCATTATCTTGGTCTGAAACCAGGTCCAGATGAAAGTGTGAGACCCTATCTGACAAACAAACTGAAGCAAAATGGGCTGGGGAAGTAACTCACGTGGTAGAGCACCTGCCTGGCAAGTGTGAGGCCCTGAGTTCAAACCCCAGTACCACCACTGAAAAAATAAAAAGGAAAGCAAAAAGGACTAAACCCTGCTCTCATGTGCATACACAGTTGCTGAGCCAGGAGTCTAAAGCACTCTGAAAATATCTACAAAAGTATCTACAGTCTTGCTCCCAGATGTCTAAGCTAGACTACTGTGAAGCAGTGTTGTACAATATGGTAGCCACCTACCAAACTTCCTTTTCCCTTCAAGCTGATTAAAGTTAAACAGGATTTACAATTCCTCTCATCATCACACCGGCCACCTTTCACAAACTGTTAACCCAGTATGGCCAGTGGCTACTCTAGGGGACAGTGTAGGTCACAGAACCTGTCTGTCACTGCAGAAAATTCCAAAACTGCATTCAAATATTATTAGGAAACCCAGCAAAGGGAAATCCAACACCCAATGGGATTGAAGCAAATCCCATTCTAGAAATTAATTCTGGCCATGCGCCTTTGCTCACAGATTAAATATTGCTTACTACTTAGTGAATAAGTGAAGCTCTCCTTTTCCTGTCTCACAGATCAACCACTCTGATAACTCGAAGAACAGATATTCTGGCTGGCCAGCAGAGATTCAGATTGAAGGCTGCATATCGAGAGCTCTGAGCTAGTGTCCTGTGGCCCTCAATAAATGTGTTTCATAGACCAACAGCTGGAGTGGCCCAGTAAGTCCAGCCATGGATATTTGAGAGTATTCGAGGTTTGTTGTAAACCAGCAAGGCCTTGCTAGCTGTATCATATTAGGATATGATACAGGTATTTATCTAGTGAAGGTTTCCATGAGCAGAAAAACAGAAATGAATGGGAATTGGTGAAGGGAACACAGAGACTGAAGCTGGAAAAAGGGTAGTGGGATTGATATTTCTGTCTGAGTGTGGAGCAGAGTGACACTCAGGGTCCTTTGGGGTCCAAACAGCTCTGCAGAGAGAGCTCCAAGCCCTACCCTGGGTCCCACCAGTCATCTGGGAATAAATCACAATGGACAGTGCTCAACTGACAGATGTCATGTACTCTTGAACTCCCCTGTGGGCTGCCTACCTTCTGGCATCAGTCCTGCCTTTGTGCCAGGTGTGGATTGGGTGAGGAGAGAGGTGCTATGTTGCAGCCACAGGGCTCCTACCAGGGCAACCACCATGCAGTCCAGCCTCCTGGAGACACCTCCTTCCAAGAGACAGCCTGGCAGAGGACAATTGTGGTCAGAGTTAAGAAATAAAGTCACTGGGGCAAAAAGTAGCTGTTCAGAGTTTGCTCTAATCTTCAGGTACTAGTACAGCCTCTTGAATCTCACCCTTAAGGTAGAGAGGGTTTCAAGCATTTTTGTTCACAGGACTCCTTTAAAATCACAGGGCTCATGGCCCCTAAATTTGAGCATCCTTGCTGTAACGAATGCCCCCCAAATCTCATGGCATACAGACAAGCTGATTTCTCTCTGCTACATGGGCCACAGGAGCCAGGCATGTTACCTGTCAAGTGCCAAAGTCAGAAAGAGCAGAAATCCTGCAGTCCCCTTCTGTCATGCTCCTACCAGGACTTGTGTTGGCCCTACCTGCTCACCTCCCATGTCCCTGGACACATCAGGCATGAGATGTCAGCTTTTCAGCAGGGTCACGGCAGACCATGTGGTCATTGAGGGGCCATGGTTCTCCATTAGGGAAGAGGTAATAAATCCTGGGGTGGAAATACAATGACCCAGGGACCACAGAAAGCCAAGTACTAAGGGCCTCTTCCAAGGCCCCTGATGGCCTTATTCTGCCCTGGGCAGAGGCCCTCAGGGAGCCTCACATCCTGGTTAGGATCGTGGCCCCAGACTGACTATGCACTAGCTGTGTCTCCCAAATTCCTATGTTGAAAGTACCTCATTCTGAGGTACCTCTGATCGCTGGTACCTCAGAATGTGATCCTCCCGGAAATAACAGTTGTTGTAAGTGTGATTAATTACCAAGAGGCCACACTGGAGTGAGCTGGACCCCATCCAACGTAACTGGTGTCCTTATAAGGGGAGATTTGGGGCTAGAGGTATGGCTCAAGTGGTAGAGCACCTAGCAAGGGCAAGGCCCTGAGTTCAAAATCCTGACTGCCAAAAACAAAAAAGAAGGGGAGATTTGGGCACAGACACCCACATGGGCAGAGCACCATGTGAAGATGGAGGCAGAGGTCAGGGGGATGCTTTCTACAAGCCAAGGATGCCAAAGGTTGCCAGGGACCTCCAGGAACCAGGAAGGGGGGCGGAGGGGGGCCAGACTTCTCCCTCGGGCCTTCCAAAGGAACTTGGCCCACTGATACCCTGACCTGGTTGCTGGAGCTGAGATGATGCATTCCCATGTTAGAACCCCCTACACATGGGGCTCTGTGATGGCTCTTAAAAACAGTGTTTTCAAAAATAAGCAAATAAATAAATAAACAAATGCAAACAAGTGAAGAAGGAAAAGACAGGTAAGACAGGTGGGCAGCCACCCCAGCACCACAATCACTCAGCCCTGGGAACTGAGCCCAGGCTGCCCCTGCTGTCTCAGTCCTCCGGGGATTCAGGTGCAGCTCTGTGAGAGTCATCTGGATGTGCTGACCAGTCACTTTGCTTCTCCTGCCAGACCTTTGGTAGGTGACGGAGGTCGGGGATGGTTCACACACCACAGAGAAACAGGCTGAAAAGGGTGGAAGGGATTCACCGGGCCCTGTCCTGAAGGAGCTCAGGTGGCAGGGGCCTGGCAGGAGGATGGGACAATGCTTAACATCTGAAATGCAGCAGGTGTGCCTGTAAACACATCCTGCTAGCACATGACATTTGCCTGGAAAACTTGACCCGTGCCAGAAAGCAGGAGCCATAAAGATAAGTGTCTGGCTACTGTTGTACACACCTTGCTTTGGGTGGCTTCTAGAGAGGAAGTGGGTGCACAGAGGCACAGGTGGCCACCATCCTGTGTCTGGCCACCCAGGCTGCTGGGCTTTCTGGATACCTTTCCTCGCTGTCTTATAGAGCCTGGGGCTGGATGGTAAGCTTCAGCTTTCAGAGCCTGGTTTCTGACGTCCCTGTTGTAGTATCCATGGCACTGTGAGATGGCCTTGGTGACATGCAGAACTGGTTCTGTCACCCTCAAAGTGAATAGTTACATGGTGGCCAAGTCTCAGCTAGTAGGAACCAGCCAGCTCTTACCTGGGATCACCTGCACTCCAGGGCTGAGTCCATTTGAGCAGAAAGGAGAAGGGGGAACAGGGATGACAGGTTTTAAAGCTGGTCTTCCCGATCACACTGGGGTTCTGGCCACAGCCATCTGCAGAGGACTGCAGCCCCCTAGCTCCCTATCTTCCTTTGCCCTGCTCCTGTTTCCCTGTAGCACTTGGACTTCCCAACTTCGGACTGATTTTTCAGTTAAGTTTCACACCTATTATCTGGTCCCTCCCCTGGAACGGAAGCTCTCTCAAGCACATTTGTCAGCTAGATTCACATTTTTGAATGTGTGACGGAATAACAACTGGATTTTTTTAAAAATACACTTAAGAATCCCAAGCACTGGCCAGTGAGGTCCTGCTGGTGTGGTAAATGCTACTCTGCACTGTACAGATGACGTGGAGGCTGGGGCTGGAGCAAACCAAGACAACAGAGTGGTAAAAGATGCCAGCACCCAGGATGGATGTGCCCAGACCACTACAGAGCTCTGGAATTGTGGCTCTAGCAACACCACCAGTGCAGCAGTTCTGCCAGTCCCTCAAGGCCATTCCACCTCCTCTGACGTTGGGCTTACTTCCATCCTGGCAGTCCTCAGCTGCCAAACACGTACTTTTGTCCTCTAATTGCAGGGCACTGGGGAATGAGGTCAGGCACAGGTAGCATGAGCTGGAGGTCTCATTCCTAGCAGAGATGTGGCTTTGGCCAGGCACCACCACCATTCTTTGATGGCCCGGACTTTCTTAGCTACCGGGTAGGGCAAGTCCCCTGTTCTCCCTGCTTCTCAGGACTTACTGAGAATTTTGGGAGAGACAGAACACAAGCAGCCTGGGAAGTGGAAGAGTCCCCCTGCAGGGTGCCATAAGCTCACACTGGCTGCTTCCACACCCAGCTCTCCTCTCACAGGTGTCCCCAGCAGCCCTCTGCACCTTCACCCACCAGCACCTCCCTGTCCAGTGATAGGCCTGGAAGGAGGCTTCTCTTGCACACAGCTTTGGAGTTGCAAAGCTGTGGCTTCAGACACGTGTAGGGAAGTTCCTGCCCCTTTGTAGGTTTTGGACTTTCTCCAGCCCTCAGCAGAGATAAAAAACAAATGACTTTTTCAAGATCCCTTTTGCTGCCCTGGAAGGTACAGCATTTCCAAGACTACCTCTTCATACTCTGCTCTCAGTTGTTTCAAAACAAGAACGAAACCCAGTAAGAGCCTGGCCACAGGAGCCAAGGAGCAGAGCAACTGAGAACTGTGGACCAAAGAAGTAGAATGTTATTCAGTCTCCCCTCCCCGTGGCCAAGGCCAAGGGTGAGAAGGCTGAGTGTCTCTTCATCAGGGATCCCTTCACTCCCCAGGAGGGCAAACTACTAGCTTGGACTTTTCAAGGTAGCTTGTGGTGATTTCTGCTAAGGAGATTAATAGGACCCTGCTATGATTTCTTTACATTAAGGAAATTAAATGAGCCAATGGAGGCGTTGTTGATGATATTTAGTAAACAAAAGCAGAGACCTGTGACTGTGATGTCTTCTCTTGAAAATGGAGCATGCAGTGTTGAATCCAGAGTGCAGTGAGAATGTAGGAGAGTGATGAGTGAGCAGGAATCACGGGGCTCTTTCTGTCCCCATTTAGAGGGTGGGGCTCCCCAAGGACTTTGCGCTAAGAAAGCAGGGTCTGCACCTGCTCTCTTACTTGTCTCTGATTTACCCAAATTGCATGTTTCCTGTCTCACAGGCTCCCAGCCTGGTTGTCCCTTGGCGCTGGGCAGCCCCTGTTTGCTGGCTCCTCTGAAATTAAAACCAACCTTAAATTTCTCAGCTGCACAGCCCATGAGCCACACTCCACACTGCTCCAGCAGCAGTTCTGCCTGTGTTTTCCTAGGTCTTGCTGCCTTTCCCAGGACTGTCCCTGACCTTCATCCTTCCCTGTCCCCTCCTCTCCTTCTTCTTAACTTTGTCAGCCGACCCCACCCAGGCTGTTCACCTCATCTCCTTCCTCTTTTTCTTTCCTCCCTTCTCACAGTCTTCTTGACTATGAAGTCCTCTTTTTCTCAATGTCACTCTTTCTCTTCAGGTCAAAGTCTGTGGGCTCCAGGGCTTTGTGTCTGTACTAAGCTTCAGGAGGCTTCCACTGGGGACAGAAACTCAGAGAAGAAGCCACAGTCCAGTGACTGCTGCATACAGACGCTTCCTGGGCACAGGTGTTTTTCTACAGGACAGCAAGCGTGTCATCAGCCCTGAGCCTGGTTTTTACTCCCCAGCATTAGTGTGGGTAACCAGAGTTTACCTGTCCACACATTCCTGGGTGCCTGAAGGTCCTTGTGGGCCTGCCTGAACACCCAGCCCTCCCACCACAGGCTCCTTGCAGAATCTACTCACACAGAAGCCTAGGAAGAGGCTCTTGAAGACTGCAGAGACGTGGTTCATCAGCTCTTACCACATGGCATTCCCTTCTCAACTTCACTGGAGGCCCCCAAGGAGGGACCTGTAACCTCCCTGCCACCCCCCCTGCTCACTCTTCCTCCATTCCCCACACACATTCACCCCTTCAAATTTCAAGTTGCTTGTGTCCAC